AATATTTTAATATTACCATAATTAACATTTAAATATTTAAAATATATTAAATGATATTCTCTATCGAAATGTTCGATTTACATTAGAACATCACTTTTTTACACGACATGTTTCAGTTCTAAAAGAACCATCTTCAGGTGTATAATGGTAATATTTTAATATTTAATAGGAATTTTATTGTGATTAGACTGACAAGATTTAAACAAATGATAAAAAATGTTAAATTACAGATAGGAAATTGATTAAATGCCAGATAAAAATTAATGCTGAAGTGATGACAAAGAATGTTTACACCGAAATTTAATTACAGTGAAACAGAAACAGCAGTATTTATAGTAAACAATTATTTGCATTCCTAGTTCTTATTTGGAGCTGATGTAAATGTCAGTAAGATGATTGATTTTCTGGCTAGACATGCCGGGTTCGATTTCTCGGGGGGCAAAAGATTTCTCTCTTAGTCTTTGCGTCAAGACCAACCCTGGGTCCCACCCAATTGTAGAATAACACGTTTTGTTCTTAGAGTATTTGATGACGCCGTCTCAAGTGCCGAAGATGTATTTTATGAATGGTGAATTGCTTTAATGTATAATTCGTATCGTATTGCGAGATTTACGTTAAAGTCTGAGGAAAATAGTGAAATCAGTAAACGGACTCCATTAATGTACAAAGTTTTTAACCCCTGAATATGAAACACAACTACTATAAGTAAGATGGTGTAATTGCGTCATATTGTGAATATTATAACAATTATTTATTTTAATCCGTCTGATCACAATATAATTTTTATTTAAAATTTCTTATAATTAAGATAATAAAATATCATTCATGTTCCATATCGATTGATCGATTTACATTTTCGGAACATTTACACAACATGTTTCGGTTTTTATAAAACCATCATCAGGTGTAAAATATATCTAAGAACTTAAAACTCAATTATGATTTCTGTAGTTTTTTGGTGATGTTTCATTACGTTTGTTTTTCCATTTTTGGGCGAAGGTGTTGTTTTTCTTAAATGTTATTAGATTACATATCGGCCAAAGATGTAGGAGTGAGTGTCCCGATATGTCCAGAAGTACTAGTGTCTTCGAATAGGTGTGGGTCAAT